ACGTTCTACTAAGTCGCCCTGACAACAAGACCAAGTTGCGACAAGAGGTCAATCCACTTCTATTAATCCAACTTGTTCGCTCAAAGTAATTTAAGAACTGTTAATCGAGTTTTCACACAATCAGATGTATATGCTTCAGAATGGCATTGAATTTAAATTAGCCGTGCATCCAAAAAGTCTGTTCTATCCAGGGAGGAATGTAGTTTAGAGGTCTCTTGGAATAGTGACGTTGCAACGCTACTCACCACCTGGTATTGAACCTGGCTTTGGTTGGTTAGGCAAGGTCAAAACTGCAAGCAACTCTGGATGGCATATGTATTTAGGAAGCAAGCTGAGTTAAATTAAATGGCATTCCGAAGCCTATTAATTTACTTGTGGAGAGACTTTTAAATATGAGTCTTTAAATTAGCATAATTGGCCTAAGCAGACTAAATTCAATTTTAGCAAATTTCATTTGGCCACGTCTTCCAAAGTGTTTCATCATGCAGACTGAACTGAAATTTCAATCTTGCCTGGGCGTTGCCATCGCTTCCAATGTGACTTTTCAAAAGCAAATTTATAGCGGTCTTGTAAATGAGGTAAAGATGTCTGTACAATCAAGTAGCTATCACAGCAGTCAGTAAATTGTGAATACTACTCAGCAAGAATATAAATAATGAATTTGATTTTATTAGTAAATAAAAGTTTGTACTATTGACAATCTCACAATTTCAAATCACATTTATGGTGAGATTACTTATTAAACAAGCATCTATTTATGGTTGAAATCGACAAATACCTATTTCTGATGTGAGTAGTTTTTAGACTCTCGAATGTTATTCAGCATGAAAATAAGCCACGTAGTTGGTTGCAATGGCAATTACAAGTTCACCTTGAAGCAAATCCCATTACAATGGTGATTTGCTCGAGGCACGGCTTGCAATAATATCACACTTGAGCTGTGACCCACTGTCACCCATGTTGCCAGTTTGAGATTAAAAATCTCATCGAGGTTGGGACTAAAAATTAATGTGATCTAAAATGCAGTCTAACTTGAATTCGAAAACATTTTGGGGAATTTCTTATATAATAGTCGAAAAATTTACCTCTCAGGTCTTTATCTCATGTAGTAACTCTTTTTCATTATGTAATAATTTTATTATATTTATTTTTATTATAATATCGTAATAAACTTTGACAAATCAATAGCTGTTTAATATTAGTATAACAAATATTTGTACTATTATAATAATACGATTGTGCAAGAGTGTGGCTCACATAAAACCGATGAGAGGAATTTTTGGGCCTCGAGTTGATGAATCAAATCCTTGATACAGTTTTGTGTAAAAGCCAAACAAGAGGTTCTCAGGCATTCATGGATTGTTGGCTTCAGATCGGTTGCCCCTTCTTGGATTAATTCACTTAAAGAAACTTTTGCTTATCTCTTTTATTTTCACCGTTTAAGCGTCCACGTATGAGAACTGATCCTAAATCATCTCCAGACGATGTATTCGGCCCCCATGGTTCAAAGGCTAGGAGAGACTATTCCTCATGGAATAGTCATCCTAACCGAAGAATCGCCATCTCAAACCGTTCCCCTCGGCCTAGCAACTTTTTGCTCCAGACTGCATCATCAAAACGGCTCCCAGATTCCAGTTTTGGGCTGCAGTACAGACAGAAGAGCTGTCGCAAGCAAAGCAAGCCTGACCGAAGATGGCAAAGACAAAGCGGTCTATGGAATTCGGAGCCAAACAAGAAAGAGGCGATCGAGGAAGCGGATGATTTAGAGGCAGAGACAATCGAGACAAAAGGGGTAGAAGATCTGGGGACAAAGGAACTGAAGGAGTCTGTGGCTGCAGAAGAGAGACTGGCCCCTGGGAAGCGAGGTGGCCGGAGGCTGCCTTTGAAGCAGGCGGCTGATGAATCCGACGCATTGACAGTACGACGACGGAGGCGTCGACGACGACGCGGTCGAATACAAGGACGTAGAGTGACTCGGAGGCCAGCAGCTGTTAAGACTCGGGCTCCCGGTGCCAGTCTCAGAGCTGGGAACAACGCCAATGTTTCTGTGCCAGAAGCTCCTTCAGAGGCACATCAGTCAGACATGTCAGCACACTTACAAAGCGCAGAAATTTGCAAGTCTCTAGACAGACTGCCACATGATGCACAAATTTTCGACTCAGATCTGGGCATTGGCGCTCCAGCTTTGGTCAGTCGAGTACCAGCTTGGCTACTGAGTTCAGAGTGAGTCACATCTATCAGAATATAGGTGAA